ACTTTTTTGGGGGTAAGTTCTTTATCTATGAAGCATGGGCTAAAGATAACTTGGTACATTCAGTCTGGCAATGAGGAGCCACATTCAGTAACTAGTCCTTGGAAACTTCCCCATAAAGAATATATTTTTTCCTGATATCAAACAAGGGTCAGTTACTTAATGTTTATCAGAGAGACACAAGAGGGTCTAACCTCTGCCAAGAAGGTTAGAATTTGTAAAAATGAGGCTGGAGGCAAATGTTTTGACAACAAAACTGTAGGTCAGGATAACCATGTACAAAAGTAACTAGATGTTTTCTGCTGTGATATTTTTCTGTTCTAATAATTGCAAAAAGCTGAATGTATACATTCACTGTGTATGATAACTGTAGCAGCTGGTCCTGACTGAAGATAGACTCACTCTCTATTGTTAATGTGCACCTACAATAAAGAGCCTATATATATATTATATGATCAGAATCAGAACAGGGAGGGGAGGTGTTGGCCTCATCACCCATCACTGTCAGAAGTCTGATGAAACAACCTATGAATAACCAATGATTTTGTGTTAAATCACAACCTATGATTTAAACAACCCAGAATTACAAACCAACAGCAGACTTCGGCTTTCTTTCCTGGGCAATCTATTATTGTTAGTCAGGGTCTGTTAACATAACCATGTTCACAGATGACAACAACCCAGAATTCAACAACTCATACATGAACAAGACATTTAAGTGCTGTTGATCCCACTACTTTTTCCTCCTGTCACGTAAGAAGAACATAAAACTGGGTAGGATTCTGTTCAAACTAGGAGTGGCTTGTATAGGCTGGTTGTACTATCCTGGATAAAAACTCATGTGAATACATTCTAATGCTCACTACAGCCAATTGGGATTACAGACAAAAAGGAAGCAATGTAGTAACATTTTAAACCTTCCCACTCCATCTCATACAACCAATTATATAATTACATATCAGAGTCTCTTTGGGTTTACAACATCCTTGATATACATACAGTCTAATATGCATACATTTTTACTCAAAAGTAATCTCTACTGCATTCATTGGGAATTACTCACTAGAAAGCAGGAGGGTTATATTGAATGAAAAGATCTGCAGAATAACTTTTGACTTTCAAGTCCAAGGGTGGTTTTTGTTAATGAGAGGATTATAGCAAGGGACAGTTGGGATGAGAGTTAAGGTGATGGCTGGAGTGTTAGCGTGAAACTGAGGATACCTGGGTTCACATTCTCCTTTATAAAAACTAAGAGAAAATGGAACAACTTTCTTTGTATACTATCCTTAGAAAAGGGTAGAATATCAATTGATCAACAGATCCAGGCTTTGATCCAACCCTTTATTTCATTATTAACTCGAATCCCATTGATTTCCATGGATCTGCTCTAAGGCTGGAGCCAGCCCAAAGATCCAGACCTAAATCATAAGCTAAATTAACTTAGGGGCTTGATCATGGGAAGCTGGGAGTAATGGGAATTTTTTCTGTCTAAATATATGAAGTATTGCACCATTACAACACACATAAGTTTAAGCACTAATTCTATAAAAGCACAAGGGAACATTATAAAATAAAGCTATTTTGGAAAGTATTCAAATCATTTTAAATATATTCCAAAGGCAATAAGGCTTATTCTTGCTGCACGAGTCATTCACAGTGCTATCTTCTTCTTCTTCTTTTTTTAACACAGTGCTATCTTATGTGTATTTACGCAGATGCACATGCCCCTGGAATCAATGGGACTTACTGTCAAGAAAGCATTCCTCACGTTGTATCTTAGGACTACAATCTTATGCTTTCTTACCTGGAAGTAACTCAGTGGAGCTAACTCCTGAATAGACGTGCATCGCACTTTGTTGCCCTGTACCAAAGTGCACATTTTCCTTTTATCTAGGTAATGACAGCAACTGTGCTTTAAAAAAATAAAGATCTAAAATTAGATCTGTGAGGTTTATTTTCGTGAATGAGCACATCCTGGCAGGAATCCTGTAAATTTCAATGACCTGACGGCTCACAATAAAGGGAAGGGAGAGAAAGGGAGGAAGGTCAGAGTCGCACACACATGTATCTCCTGCAGTCACAACAAGCCTGCAGCTCTCTGCTTCTTCGGGCAAATCACTCAGTGCTAAAGTTGTGATGTTTTGACTTCATTTTTTTAGCATGTCCACTTTGGTTATAACTATTTCTTTCATGTGTTCATTCTCAGTAAATTGCTCTTAAAGCCATCGAGAAAGACACTTGTTTTTGACAACATTCTGCTCATGTAATCTCATCAAGCACGATAAGTCCAGTCAATAAGAATAAAAATTTCTTCTGTGTCTCAAAAAACAGAAGTAAGTTTGGAATGTGAATGGCAATTTTAGGCCTTGCCACGTGTATGCCCTGCCAGGCCAAACCAAGTATGTCATGCCATAGACTTTGCTACTCTTGTATAGCATGCATGGTGATTTTCTGCTTGTAAACAGGTAAGACAATTTCCTTAGCTCCAAATAGGGTTCATCGAGTTGATCTATAACCTGATGGGTTAGAATGAAGCTAAAATCATAGAGACGGTGTGGTACAGCAATGTGTGTAAGAAGTCTTAGAGTGAACCTTGAATTTCTTTATGCAGTACTAATAACAGGGATTAAAGACTTTGCCATAAACTCAAAAGGAATGCTTATTTTTTATATAGAGATAGCTTGTCTAGTCATTAGCAGTAAGTGTCCTTAAGATAGCTATTCAGGCAAATACATGCTATTCACATAAGCCTACCAATACCATTTTAGATCAATATAATCAAAAAAACTTGAATTACAGATTGCCATAATATTAAAGCCTGCCTAAGAATGATCAAAACATAATTTCCTGAGAGCATTCCGGCAGTTTCATCACATTAGTATAAAAATTAAATATACCCTATAAATAAAGGGGTTCCCTTGTAAAGCATATTAACTTCCCTTTGTTTGGAGTAGACAAAATAAAGCAACCAAAATATTACCAGCTGCCCCCTGAATGAAAATCTGTAGAATGCTGAGTTTTATAACCGCTTGAGATTTTTTTTTAATGTAGAAATGAATGTTATAGCTCAGCTGTAAATCACGAATTGACATTTATAATTGCAAAACAGGTTTAATCTCAACCATAGTATATCCAGTAAGAAAACTATAATGACAACTTTTACAGGCTGGCAAGTCATTCTGTAGTATATCTGCTCATTAAAATTCTAAGGGTAATGCAGATAGTTCATTTAGCGGCTGTGAAATGCTGAAATCCTACACACTTAAGTATCCATGTAGAATTCTATGGTTTCTTTAACTGGGATGAAAGTCCCATCCCACTGTGTTCAAAGGGGCTTCTTTCCAAAATAGATGTATACAAAACAGTAACCATACCCCTTAAAATCAAGGGTTTAGGATGCAATCCTATACACCTATACAGCATAAACCCCATTATACCCTTTGGAGCTTTCTTCTGAGTACATATTCATAGGATTGTACTGTTAAACCTCCATTGTCTCGGTTTAAAAGAATCAACTTTAGAAGACCTCGCATGGCATTATCACAGCATCTTTTAACAGATAAGAAGATTATTGTCCAACTCATTTTAGTGTACCTTTCACAGAAAGAAACTAGTTACCAAATGCATGATGTACAGACAGAAAGCAGGTCACATGAGGCGTTAAACAAATACACTATATTTACTGGCATAATAGGAGTGTACTGTCTACAGCCAAATGTGACATTGTAACAAGAAAGAAAGGAAGAAAGAAAACTATAAACATTTCCCTGTTCTACCAGACCAATTCATCAACATGCAAATGTGCTGTGCACACAAATTGCTATGCATCAAATATACTAATAGTAACACCTGAACAGCTTCCTTGGAAAGGAAGGAGAAGAGGGCAGAAAATAGACCTGTTATACAGCAGCCAATGGGTGAGTCAAGGTACACGTAATTGGAATTTTAAGCTAACGCACATTGTGCAGAAACATACAAATTAATTCTTTATTTAGACCTGCACATGCACTTACTGTCTTTTGAAAAGGTTAAGCTTTAAAGGCCATAATCAGCAGGAAAACTGGCATGGGGCTGAAGTGGCACCCAGCAGTGGCACAAAGTGCCTGTGATGCACAAGCAACACCCCCCCCCCGCCCACACTGACAAACACTATCTTATTTCTACAACAGTAGAGTGAACAGGAGTAAGGAAATGTGCCATGTGCCAGAAGCATCCGCTGCAACTGCTGGACCCATTCTGGACTTTGGACTGCCAGCACTTCGGACGGTGCTGATGAGGACACAATTCCCACCTGGAGTCATTAATGATATTTCTAGAAATGGTTTCTGACTGGTGCCAGATGCTTCTTGGAAATGCAGCAGTTTCCAGGCACAAGGAAAGTCCAAGGTGAAGAAGGGGCAGGCAGAAGAAGCGAGAAGGGCAATGAAGAATGAAGTAAGAGGCAGCAGGCGGAATGGGTAGCTGGGCTGGCGCAGGGCAGGGCAGAAAGGAAAGACGGTTGCAGAGAAAAGCCTATGACGCGCTGGGAGGAGAAAAAGGAGATGGGGCAGTCCCACTGAAGGAGGCCGTTCAGGAAGAGGTGAGTGGGGACGAGGTTTAGAACCTGCGGGGACCAAAGCGCAAAAATAAAATAAAATAAAATAAAATAAAATAAAATGAGCGAACAGGGAGACATGATGCTGTGGGATGTTGTGCCAGAGATGCCACGGGATGCAGATCCGAGAGAGACAGTTTATAAGAAAGAAGAAGAATGATAATAAATCCATGCATGCGAAAAGACGGAGACAGATTATTGGCGAGGAGAAGAAAGAGAGTCTTCACCCCATAACAACAACAACAGTTTGGTTCAGGATGCGAGGCTTGATTATTCGGGGGGACTCCTTCCCTCCTGCCCTCCTCAGAAACTCTGGGGCAGCTCGAGTGAGATGAGGAGGAAGGACCTGCCGCCGCCCCCCACCCCCATTCCCACCCCCAAGTTTGCAAAGACAGCCTGCCAGCCTCACCAGAGGGAGTCCAGGTCCCATTCCTGCAGAAGAGCCAAGTCAAAGCTGTCCATGGTGAGGTCGAGAAGCAGGAGGAGGAATATGTCAGCGCTGCTCCGCTGCAACCGCGCAGCGGCCAAGGTGCATCTTCGCAGCGCCGCGGGTGGGCGAAAGGCGAGCGGGAGGAGGGGAGGGGGCCTTCGGCGCGTCCCTCCCTCTTCCCCGAGCAGAGACAGCGAGAGCCAGACGCAGCGAGAGCCGCCGAGAAGCGCCCCCCGCCGCCGCCGCCGCGCAGTCGCGCGCCCTCCCCCCACCCGCGCGCGCTCCCGCGCCCGCCCGCCCGCTCAGTGAAGCGCCACCGCTCGCCCGCAGGCGGCGGCTGCTCCTCGGAGCGCCTTTTCTCTCCAGCCAGCGCGTGGCTGGGTGGATGTTGCGTGTGGCTCGCTCCGTGCCGGCGCCCTCGCTGGGAACGCTGCGGCGGAGCAGCGGCCGAAGCGCTCCGCGCCTCCGCCAGCTGGAGCCACGCGGTTCAAGACGGAGAAGCCGCCTCTGCCTGCCGCCCCGCGCGCTTTTGTTCCCTTTGCACGCTTCAGCCCTCGCGGGGTTGTTGTTCGTGCGCGCGCGCGTCCGACCTGTTTTTGTTTGCTCGCTTGGGTTGAGCTGCGGCTGAAGTCCCGCATTCATTTCCGCATGTGTTTAAAACCTGCGCTGATCGCAAAACTTACGCTCGCGGACATTTCCATTCACGGCCGTAAAGAATGCTCAGGAGATCACATCCCTTGTACGATCCGAAAATCAATAGAGCTTACTAGGCCTGTCACGTCGTTTAATATTAGCTATATTTTTCGCACACACGTATACCGTTATGGGAATTATAAGTCAGGAGTGTCACGCAAGCGCCCTTAGTCTTCTGACGTGTTTGCGCAAGGAAAAAGGTACTTGCAGGAGTGCAACAACAGAATTCTGCATGAACAGTGGCCCAACCAGCCGCCCACAGGATCCCACAAGCAGGACAGGAGCGCTGCAACACTCTCGCACCCATGTTCCCCAGCCACTGTGGTGTACATACGCATACTGGAGACAGCACTTAGCTGTCAAAAGCTTTATCTTGCAAGAATGTGTCCAGTCCCCTTTTAAACGCATCTGAATTGGTGGTAACCACTGCATTCTGCATAAGCAGATTTCATAACTTAACTGTGTGCTGTGTGAAGAAGTACTTCCTTTAATTAACTACTAGGTCGGAATGACTTGGATACAATTACTTTCTGGCCACTTCCCTTCCCCTCCCCTCCCCCATCCAACTGTTTCCAGATTTTTATTCGATCCACTTCCACAAAGATGGGTTACCTCCTTAACAATTTGTCCTTTTAAAAATGCACATTGTGTTTTTAAAAGGGAATGAAGCTGGTTCTTGTTCTGAATACACAACAACACCCCCAAAACAAAAGAGTTGATAGCCATTTTTTCATAGCTCAGCCATCCATCTCTCATCCACTTTCCTTAAGCAGTACAGGATGGTAACAACCATTGTAATGTCATAATGTGAGACACACATTTACCAGTGCGTGGGGAAATGGTTGAATCAGGAAATATGCGGCCAGGACAAATTAAAATAACCCCAAGAGCAGCTGTATGAATTTGGGATCAGAAGTCTGATCTGGGTAGTTTATACAGCCCTCTATGGATCAGTGCATCTCACTCTGCCAATTGCACTGGCAGGAAAGATCAGTGAAAATAAAGGCTATATAAACCACAATCCTATTTGTTTAAAAAATATGTTGGAAGATAGCACATCAGAAATCTTACAAAATAAAGATGTGATCCTATACTTGTTTAGACAAAAAATAATCCTACCATTCACAGCATCCCTCAGCCTCCATGGGGACTTTCCCCCCTCTAAACATGCATAGGATTAAACCTTAAGTTACACAGTTAATAAGCTCTCCGACATCCAAGTGTCACAACAAGGCCAGACATCAATATGACCTTCAAAAGCCAAGCCGGCCATTTCAATATGTCAGTAAAAACTACTAACAATGTGATTCCAGGAAGAGGAAATAAAGTCCAAGCAGCTCCTCTTACTTAACTTACTCACATGTTGATTTTATGCACATTTCCAGATATTTCATTTAGAGAAGCACTCCCAAGTATGAGCATAAACATCTTAGCAGTGCTTCAGTTCTGAAAGAATCTCTAAAGACCTTATCTTGACAGTATCATAACAAAAGGATTAACACTTAAATTGATATGCGCTATTTCCATTTACCTTAGTGTGAGCCAGTGTGTTTCTATTCAGCACTGCTAACAAGCATAAATGCAACATAATTTATCAGGCACATTTCATAGTGCACACAGTTTTAAGTAGCTAGTGTCCCTAGCTGTCATGTCTTATCACAATGGAATCTTTCAGTAATGAGTAAAATGAATGCGCATATGGCTTCTTGTATTAGGTTTAACTTGTCATGTGCTTGAGGGTCCTTTTAGGCAACAGAGTCTGTATATCCTTATTTTATTAGTCTCTCGTGTGTTCTACATAATAATAATTCTTACACTATTGTCAGTCTCATTTCCTCCAGAAGTATAAAGGTGCTCCAGGGTCCAGAGAGAACCAGCTCACATCGATATTCAATCCAAAGGGGGAAGAGGCACAAGTCAACACCCATAGCTGCTCTCTGGTGACGCATTATCAGAGCCATGCTATCATATGCAGATGTGAATACTGGAATGGGCTTTTGTGCATGGAAGGAAAAGGCAGCTCTGAGGAGAAGGAACATCTATGAATACAGACTAACACAAACCTTCCTATAGTTAGTGACCTATAGTTAAACAATGCAGGAAATGACTGATGCCCCATTCTTTCCTTCTCTGACAGTAAACATCTAAATATACTGTCGCAAGACAACTGTGGACAACTGTGCACCTTAGCCAGTACGAACGGATGATTCAAAATGTGTTTTACATTGCAGAACTCACGCAGAATTAGACCTATAAATTAGTCCTTTAATGAAAATGTTATATCCTGTCCTTTTGGTCACTTACCACTTTGTTATTTCTGAAAACAAAAAAATACACAGAGGCACAAAATATCCCAATAATCTATTGATTTTGCTGTTGTGGTGTCTTTATATCCCAAACACAAACAATATATGGGAATGCAAAAATGTCTCATGGGTTTTTCCAAGGAAAACTGATCAAGAGAGGCAGTCTAGATATCAGTAGGCTGGGACAAACAATGGGATTTCACTGGGGAACATTTTCTTCACCAAAAAGAGATTTCCCATGGGGGTAGAAAAGTACCTAACAACCCCCAAAACATTAGTTTTTAGTAATAAATGTTATGTTTCCAGAGTTTATGATATTGTTCTCATATTTTGAGTTTAGAACATACATCTTGGGACACCACAGACAGTTTTTATATTGTTATTTCTTGTATTTTAATTTTATGTTGTGAGCCGCCCCGAGGCTTCGGCGAATGGGGCGGCATAGAAATGTTTTAATTAATAAATAAATAAATAAATAAATAAATAAATAAACACATCAAAAGATGACTTGGGGTAGTAAAATGCCCCACAAACATATTTGTGTATATTTTTTACAACCATTGAATGAGGAAAATTAGCCGGAATAGACAGTCCTCAAGAAAGAGCAAAATGGTGAGCTGGCTTTAAATACACGACTAGCTAATTGCCAGTCAAGGTTTGGAATTCAGAGCATCATTGTTTCCTCAGCCTCATTTGTCGAATTGTCCTCACTTATTCCCCATGTTCTCATCTTCCACTGAACCTTCCGCAGCAGGTTGTGCCCCCTTACAGCATTCTCCCTGCCCGCAGCTCTTTTCTCAAAAGAAATGTATATAGCATACACTAAGGGATATAATAGAGTTATTATATCTTCTGAAAAAGTAAAGTGTGCACTTTGGGACAAAGCCAGGTACATATTTGGGTGCATTCTTAAGAAATAAGGACTATGTTTCGCCCTCTTTCAATTGTGATCCAGAATGGAGACTGTTCACTTTGTTGCATAGAACTAAGTAAAAGACAACCGACAGCCAAGCCACTGTCTGCCTAGCTCTGCCCTGGGTTCAGTTTCTTGGCCACCCCATAGTATGATAGCATATTAAGAGTAGGGAATTTGATTCAATAAAGATAACTAAATTAATGAGATAGGCAATGCAGTGCTGCGCTATATTCCTGCATCCTTGGGGAAATGCTCTTCTTCGGGGCTACAGCCAGTCAGAAACAGCAAATGTGTACTGCTCTTCAAGTTCTTGTGTGTTTTCAGTAGAATTATCCCTTCTCCTCCCTATCCCAAATTTCCCCCTCCCCTAGAACCTGAGTCTATTGTAACTAGATAGCAGACGAGTGGCACACAGTTTTGGGGAATGAAACATGGGAAATTGCCTGTTTCCCATTTCTTTTCCTTCATTAAATATGCATGTATAATTTGGGCTACACATGCTTTACTCAGAGCTATTGGAAGCCTGAGCAGGTTGATCCAATCTTCTATTATTTTCCTTTTCCTCAATTCCCCCTTTTTGTGTGGAGGTTTGTTTTTATCTGATCCTTAACACTGCATGTCTCAACAGCTCTCAGATACTGAGAGCTATGTCTGTTAATTCACAGATTCACACAAGCCCTCGTCACAGGTTCCAAATAATGTGAGGGCTTAAAGTGGGGAAGGGAGATAGGATTGGACCTTCCCCAGTGTCACCACGCCACTTGCTGATGCACTGTACTTGTATTCAACTACATGTGAGATGAACAGTCTGCCTGGCTGGAGATTTTTATAAAAAGAAGTCCCCAGCTGTATGGAGTACGCTCCTAGTATTCAGCTGATCATGACCTGAAACTGCTGTGCTTCTCACAGCAACAGTGACAGGTTGGGCTTGGCTTGAAGGGGGCCAGTGCAGGCATCAAGAATAGGCACTTCCAAGCACATGCCAAGGGCACACACCCCAGCAGGAGCTCACTGATAAGACTCCTCATTAACCTGCTTATTCGTCTTCCTTTGATCTAGCCCAAGCAACAATGGTGGTGGTGAGAAGGCGCTGTACATGATACGGGCTACCAGCTTA